GAGAGCTGGGTGGGCCTCCCCCATCAGTCTAGGGCTCCCCAAGAGCTGGGCTGTGCCTCCCCCATCAGTCCACGTCTCCCCAAGAGCTGGGCTATGCCTCCTCCATCAGTCTAGGGCTCTGTGAGAGCTGAGTGTGCCTCCTCCATCACTCTAGGGCTCCTCGAGGGCTGGTCTATGCCTCCCCCATCAGTCTAGGGCTCCCCGAGAGCTGGGCTGTGCCTACCCCATCAATCTAGGACTCCCCGAGAGCTGGGCTGTGCCTACCCCATCAATCTAGGACTCCCCGAGAGCTGGGTGTGCCTGCTCCATCAGTCTAGGGCTCCCCGAGTGCTCAGCTGTGCCTCTCCCATCAGTCTAGTGCTCTGCAAGAGCTGGGCTATGCCTCCCCCATCAGTCTAGGGCTCCCTGAGAGCTGGGTGTGCCTCCCCCTTCAGTCTAGGGCTCCCTGAGAGCTGGGCTGTACCTCCCCCTTCAGTGTGGGCTCCCCGCATGTGGGTGACAAGTCTCCCTCTGCTCTCCCCGCTGAGCCCCCAGGGCCCTGGCCCGCAGGCTCCTTCCCTGGACAGCAGTGTGAGCCTTGCACCCTGTCCCCCATTGCAGGGCTGTGATCCCAGCACCAGTGAGCTCCCTGCCTGCTCCCCAGCCCCTGCCCTGTAGGCCAAGGACCTGGCCTGAGGGGCTGTGACCGCTACAGCACCCCACCCCACCCAGAGCTGCTGACTCGGAGAAAATGCAGCAAGACAGGGCCGGAGGAGGGGGCATTATTGGAAAAACAGCCGAGCCCCGCCGCGGGGCCTCCTGTGCGGGAGGAAACGAGCGGGTCCACGGCCCGCCAAGTTGGACGTGGCCTCCCTGAGTCACCGGCAGCAAGGAGCTTGGGCGGGGGGCTTGGAGGCCAGGGCCTCGCAGCTGAGGTCAGAGTCGGTCCAAGCAAGGGCTGGGACCATGCAGGGCAGCCAGAGCCTGAGTCAGCACCCCCGGGAGGCTGGCCGGGAGGGGCGGCTGCACATGTCTCGGGCCGGGCAGCCGGCAGACTCCATTGGCCCCGGGCTTCGACCCCCACGCTAAGAACAACTCCCTCTCCTGCCCCTGCTCCAGGGCTGGGCCCCCTCAGTCTCATCCTCTCTGAGACCCCAGCCCAGGGCCTGACCACCAGTGTCTCCTCTACCCAGGGGTGCGGGACCAGGCACTCTGGCCGGGGGCTGCTTACAGCTTCTCCTGCTCCTGCCGCTCGGGGGACTGGCCATCTCCGTCCTCGTCCTGGGCCCGCAGCTGCCTGTCCCTCTCCCGCCGGCGCCGCTCCCGGGCAGCCTCCTCTTCATCCTCCACACTCCACTGGGTGGTGAGCCTGGGGCACATGGAGGGACAGTCACACCACGGCCCGCACCCCGCCTCTCCCATCCATGCAGGCCTCGATGGAGCCGCGTGGTGAGGGGGCTGGACCAGCCCCTGCCCTCTCTGGGCCTCAGTTTCCTCATCTTTAGAGCTGAGGTCTTGTGAGAATGTCATGAAGGAGCCCGCTGGCGTGGGGAAAGTCCTGTGGCTCTGTAGCCGTCTGGACATCATGTGCCCCCTGTGGGAGGCTCCGCGGAGGGGCTCCCGTGTCCAGACAGGCATGGAGAAAGTAGAGGACAGGATAAGACCCTCCGTCCCCTTCCACCAGTCTGGCTCCCGGCACCTAATCAGAGCCAGGACACAGGCTGGCTGGCTTTGGCCCGGGGCAGGGCCTGGGAGGGCACGGGAAGAGGTCCCTGGAGGTGTGCAGAGCGGGCTGTGGCCATACATCCCACTTGAGTCAAGAGGCCGCAGCCTTGGCCCATTGGGCACTGCCGGGCCAGGCGGGGGTCATGCCAGGAGCAGACCCAGCTGGGCAGCCACTCCCCTACCCCAACCACCCAGCTGTGGCTCTCCTCCCTGCTCCCTAAGAGCACAGCACGTTGGGAGAAGGTGGCCACGAAGGAGGGCCTGAGGCCCAGAGAAGAGGCTGCCTCCAGCCTGGGCTTGAGCCCACCGCTGGAGGGCCCTGCAGGGTCGGCTCACCCCACACTGCCGCCCTCCATCTCAGAGCCCTCGTGGAGTCTCTCTATGTTGTTTCAAGGATGGGGAAACTAAGGCCCACTGCAGGGCCCGGCACAGGAGAGGTTCCTCCTGCAGGGCACGCTGACACCTGTGGCTGCTCAGGATCCCTCACTCCGAGCTGCACAAGGTCGGCCTGGGCCTGGGGTCCAGAGCCTGGCCACTCTGGCCGTGGCCCAGCAGATCTCAGACCACTGGTGTCCAGTGGGCACCACTGGCCTCATCCAGCCAGCATGGCCCTGCATCCCCCAGCCCCCCTGGAGCCCGAGAGGGGTGTCCGGGGTCTCTGCTTCTGCGGGGCTCACTGCCCCAAGCCAGGGTCTCAGTCCCTTCCTGCTGGTGTCCGCCGCCTGACCCCGCAGCCCGCTCCTTCTGGGCCTCCATCCCCTGGCCGGGCTGGGCCGGCCCCGTGGTCTCAGCAGCCCTGCCAGCACATGATCTAATCTCTCCGAGGTCTCCTCGGAGCCTCTCAGACAAAAGCCAGGCCCCTCCACAGCCCCCGCGAGAGGCCCGCTCCCCCCGCTGCGGCCACATGGAACTCCAGCCACGCAAACCAGACAGCCTGCTCAGACCTCTGCACCCCCAGTCCGCCCACCCCACTTCTCAGAAGTGCCTTCCACTCCCACCCCCATGGGCCCCAGGGAGCCACTTAATTCCCCACACCTGGCTCCCATCAGGCGGCAGATGAGGCCCAGCCTCTGGCTCCAGGCCTTGGCTGGGGGCTGCGGGGCCGTGTTCTGTCTGGGGAGGTAGAGCCTGGGGTGCTCTGGAGGCTGTGGGGACCCGGGGTCTGGGGTCCCTTCCTGCTCTGCACGCCAGCAGCCCCTCCAAATGGAGGATGGGAGCAGAGCAGGGCGTGGCTGGAGCTCAGGGAGACATCCCCGGATCTGGGGTGGAGAGAAGGTGCCTTCTCCTGGGGCAGCTCCTGGGGCCACCCCCTGAGGGATTCCCTGGAGGGAGAGACTGGCCATTGTGCTACTCTCGCTCCTATGTCCAAGCTGCACGTGCCCGTGGACATGTCTGTGTAGAGGGTTTGAGGGGTTTTAGCCAATGTGTGGTGCATGGGGGTGCGTGCATGGACCTAAACCCCAGCTCCTCCTCGGGCCTGGGCTCGGGAGCCCCTCGTGGGGTCTCTCTTGGACCAGGTGGCCACTCCCGCCCCCCAGACCCCTCCTCAAAGTCCTGGAGACCCGTCACCAGCACAACTGAGTGCAGAGACCACACAGCGTCTGGTCATCCCAGACACAGACGTGTGCGAATCCCTGGGGTCCACACACATGGCACTGTGTCCCATACCAGGCCCCACACGTGAACCCACAGCGCATGGCCGCGTGGCAGGAATGCACATGTGCCCACAAACTTTCTCCATGAGCCCCACACTCAGGCCCACATAGGCGCACACAAACCACACACCACACGTGGGCCCAACCACCCACACTGTGCACACACACGTGCACACATGGATGTCCATGTGCAGACTCAGACATAGGAATAAGGTGAGGGCAAAACGGCAGGTCCAGTCCCCCTGGGACCCCGCCGGGGTGCCCCAGCAACTGTTCACTGTCTCCCTTGCCTTCTCCCCAACAACAGCCCTGGAGAGAGGCCAAGGCGTGTTTTCTGAAAACATCATGCCTAAGGAGCTGGCCCCTCCGAGTGTCACCTTCTACCATCTGCGTGTGGCTCCCTAAGCCCTCACAGTCAGGGAGCTTGTGGGGCAGAGTGGGGGTGCAGGGTCTCCCCAAGGCTCTATGCTGGGAGAAGCAGCCAACCCCTAGCCCCTGACCCAGGGCCCAAGGACAAGGAGCTGGCTCAGCCCCTTCCCTCCTCGCCTCCTCCCTTCCCGCCTGCCCCGGGATGTGAGTAATGCGGCCCCTCCTGGCCCCCTCCCATGACCTCACCCCTCACTGATCCACAGCTGGGCTCCGTTCTGGGAACTGAGAGGGGGGCGGCTCTCCTGGGGTGGGGTGGGGGCCTCTGGCCTGGGAAAGGCGCCCCCCCAGCCAGGCCGGCGGCCCAGACCCCTTGGCACGCTCTGTGGAGCTGTCAGGACGCTGGCGACGGCCGGCCCGCCCGTGGCCCCTGGCCCAGCCCGCGTGCAGCTGCAAGGGATTTGGTGTTCCTGCGCAAATGCAATTAGGCTATTTCCTGTGTCTGTTCTGGCTCTGTGCACGGCCCCCGGCTCAGCCCGAGGGGCTGCCGAGTGGGGCTTCGCCCTTCCTTCCCCAGGGTCAGGCTGCTGCACTGCGGGTCCTTGCCCCACCCAGGCGCACTAGCGTGCACAGACCTCATCAGGCCTGTGCAGGCTCACGTCTCCCGGATCTGAGGAGGGGTCCCCGAGTTCAAGGGCTGCCCCTGCTGGCTGTGTCCACCACCTACAGGCCCCAGACTCAATACGCCAGACCCCTCCTCTCCTTCCCCCGCAGCCCCCAGGCCCCACCAAGGGTCCGATGGTGTCAGTCCTGGGCCCGGCCCTCGCAGCTGTCCCTCCTCCTTCCTCCCCTGCCCACTTGGCAGGCTCCAGAAGGGGCATCAGGCCTCGGTCCTGTCTCGATTCTGCCTCCTGCAGGCGGCACATGGGTTGCCCTGCCCGCCTAGGTGCCTAAAGGTCGGCTCAGAGGCCCGGGGAGAGCTTGGGGCTCGGCTGGGAAGCTGGGCTGATGGGAGGACAGCCGGCTGGGCCTGGCCTGTTGTGGAGGAACTTTTCCTTTAGGCCCACAGAGGACCCCCTGACCACAAGTCTTCTGGACACTGCTGGCGGGAGCTGGCCAGGAGGCCTGGGAAGCTGAGCTGGTCACCCCACCGGGAGCAGGGGCACTCTGTAGACCACCAAGGTCCCCTCCTGTGCCTGGCCTCCCCAGGGTCTTATATGTCGTTGACTGGTGTGGACGCTTGCAGAGCGAGGGGCCCCATAGAGACCGTAGAGGCCATGAGTGAAGGGACAGAGTGTAGAGGGAAGGGAGCCCACGGAGGGGCCTTCTCAGTTCTGGCTTCCAAGGGTGGTGGGACAGCAGCGCCTCAGACTGCCACCACCAGAGAGCAGCTCCCAAGGGCGGGGTCGGGCCCTGTCGGGGAGCTCGGGAGAGGACGGCGTGGCTGGGCAGCACCCGTGCCCCATAACTCAGGTGCAGGTCGTGGGGAGAGGTCTGCAGTGTAGCCTTGCCAGGGTCAAGCCGGCTGTCACTCATCCTTGCAGAGAGGCAGCTGGGGATGCAGCTGAGAGGGGCGAGCCAGGATCACAGAGCCCCGAGCGAGCAGGCAGGTGGTGGGTGGGGTGGCTGCCGCGGGCGGGGGTGTGGGTGCGGGAGCTGCAGCTGCCAGGAACCTGCCCCACCTCCACCTCCCTGGCGTTGGTCCAGCCCACCCTCCCGGCCCACCCCTCCCCCAGCAACACCTTTCTGGGTGTGTCCGTGCCCTGCTGGGCATCAGGGGAGGCGACCCCCTTCCAGTGGGCCAGGTAGACACCCCACCAGACAAGCCCCGTTGCCCAGGGATGCCCAGGAGGCGACCCTGAACTTGGGTCTGGGGTTTGTGGGCCAGGGAGGGGGTGAGGCAGGAGCAGGACCTCTCGGTGTGGCCGAGGCCGGGAGGTAGGCTGTGGGGAGGTGGCGGAGGGTCCCTGTGCCCCACCATGGGCCGCCCTGGCGGACCCCACGCCAGCACAGGCGCCAGCAGGTTAGCATCCTGGAAGGAGGCCCGGCCGGGATGCGGAGGGGGAGACACAGGCGGATTAGGAGGGAGAAGGGCCAGGCTGGGGGTGGTGGAGCAGGCAAAGGGTAGGCAGCCTCCAGAACCCCCCGGGCGTCCATCCGGCACCCCAAGAGGGGAGACGGTGAGCAGGAAGGGGCTACAGGTGCGGAGGGGCCCAGGCTAAGCTGGGGAGAGCCCTGGGGAGGAGCAAGCCCTGAGGGGGCCGAGGGGCAGCACCGGAGAGGGCGCCGCAGCTGAGGCACCAGGCGTCCGAGGTGACCGGAGCAGGGCGTGGCCTGGGGCTGAGCATGAGAGCACCAAGCCCCTCGGGGCTCCAGGCCCAGGCCTCTTCCGCTCTCCCTCCCTCCGGCCAGCATGGGGCCTCTCTCCTCCCGCAGGGCTCCTCCAGGGCCTGGTCTGCAGGGGTGCACAGGGGTTGGAGCTGAGGCCCCGCCTGGACTGTCACCCCACGACTGGAGGCTCAGTGCCCCCATGTGAAGACGAGCGAGCTGCCCTGTGCCGGGTGCTCAGCTCTGCCCTGCGTGCAGGAGGGCCAGCTCTTCCTGACCCCTCCATCACTGTCTC